ATGCTCAAGAAGCGTTTCTACAAAGTTTTTCTCCCTGATGTTACCTGTTTCCTCATTGCAGAATAATATCTTATTTAGTATGTGTCTTGGGTTAGTCTTGATTTTGAGACCATACTTCGTTGTCATGACTAATCTTCTGAAGGTCAGAGCAGGTTCACCAGCTTCTGCATATAGACTTTCCACAGGGGAGGTTGGCAATGCACCTGTACAAATCCTTAATGCAGAGTTGTGTACCACGTCCAACATTCTTAAAGTTTTGCTTGGAGCAGAGCCGTAAACGCTTGAGCAGTAGTCCAATTTGCTTCTAATACTTGCATAGTATACTTTCAATAGGCTTTTTCTATCTGCTCCCCAAGTCGTATGAGAAAGGCATTTTAGTAGGGCAACTCTTTTGAGGCACTCTTCTTTAAGCAGTTTTATATGAATTGTCCATCTAAGCGGGCGATCTAACTCCATTCCCAAATATTTTAGACTGTTAACGAATGGAATTTCAGCACCACCCATCCGTATTTTTGGATTTAGTGTGCACCCTCTTAATCTGCAAAAATGCATGGCTCTAGTTTTGCTAGCAGATAGTTTAAACCCACTCTCTGTTGCCCATTTCTCTATGTTTTCTAGTGCTTCTTGCGTCTTCCACTTTAAGAATTCTAATGATTTACTTCGAATGAGCAGCATTATGTCATCTGCGTACAAAATGGTTTATGCAGGCTTGACAACTACATCCGCTATGTCATTTACTGCAATCTGAAAGAGGGTCACGCTGAGTGGGGATCCTTGAGGAGTGCCATTCTCCATGTTGTAGATAGAGGATTCTGAAGTTCCGACTTTGACACTAAATGTTCTATTTTTTAGGAAATTCATTATGTACTTCCATAATTTTCCTTTGATGTGCCATCTTCTTAGTATGTCTAAGACTCGCCATCTCCACAGCGTGTCGTAGGCTTTCTCGACATCCAGGAATATGGCAATGAGGTGTTGCTTCTTTTGGAATGCTTGTTGGGCTTCCCATTTCAGAATTTGGACGGGGTCAATTGCGGTGTGGTCTTCCCTGAACCCGAATTGGTACGGAGTGAGCAGCTCTCTCTTTTTTATTACCTCAGTCATTCTCTGATTTACTATTTTTTCTTGCAGTTTGCTCACACATGAGAGAAGTGATATTGGGCGGAAGTCTGTTATAAGACAACTTTTTTCCTTTTTTTGTATGGGCACTATCAAGGAATGCCTCCATGTTAGTGGCAGATAGCCAGTATCCCAAATTCGGTTGTACAGTCGCAATAGTATCTGTTTCCCTTCGTCAGGTAGATTATATAGCATCACATATGAGATTCCGTCACTACCTACAGCGGATTTCTTTGAGCATTTCTGTAGAAAATATTCGAGTTCATGTATCCCGATGGGGATATTGTAGTTTTCTTCGTGGCCTAAGTTCACATGATCTGGCATATTTTTACAGCTTATAGGGGTTTGGGTAATAATAGAGGATACTTGATAAAAGTATTCTGCCAATTTTTCCGCGATTTCGTCAGGGTCAGTTATAATGTCTTGTCCACTCTTTATACCAGGCAATTTCTTTGTTTTGGGGATCCCCTTAACGCTTTTCACTTTATTCCAGAGCTCCTTCATTGAGATGTTTTGATTAATTGAAGATACAAAGTCTTTCCATGACGATCTTTTGCTTTCTTTTATGGTTCTGTTCGCTATGGCTCTCAATCTTTTAAATTCAATTGCATCAAGTACATTTCTTGTTTTTCTAAATTTGTTGAGGGCACGTTTCTTCGCTTTCACAGCGTTTTGACATTTTTCATTCCACCATGGTACTCTTGTATGAGATAGTTTATTAACTGTAAGAGGAATTGTTCCATGAGCTGCTTCTGTTATTAGGTCGCTAATAACGGTGGCGCTGTGGTCGATATTGTCAAGATCTGCAGGAAAGAACCCAATTTGTTTTCTTATTTTTTCACGATACGCTGTCCAATCTGCTTTCTGGTATTGCCAGTGACGGTTCCTCATTTGTGTTGGAGTCTCGTGCTTCATTTTCATGATGATTGGGAAATGGTCGCTTCCATATAGATCCGATTTCGTTTCCAATCTAATTTTTGGGGCCAGTCGAACGTCGCTGAAGCTAAGATCGATTGATGAAAAATTATTGCTTTTGGAGCAAAAATGAGTATTTTCTCCCGTGTTTAGAAGTGTGGTTGTAGGGCTGTTCTCTAAAAGTTTTTTTAATTTTCTACCTCTGTGCCCATTGTCAGCTAGTGTTGAACCCCAAGCTATATCATTGGCATTAAAGTCACCTAATAACAGGTAGAGTCTGGGTAGCTGACTAACAATATGCTGAATATCATGTGTAGCAAACGGTTCTGATGGTGGCATGTAAATGTTACAGACAGTAAGTGGCTCGTTTTGGTAAATTTTGACCGCTATTGCTTCGAAGTTTGTGTTAAGAGGGAGCACTTCAGCAAATATGTCATTTCTAACAAAAGTTGCGACTCCTCCCCATGATTTTGAGGTTCCTGTTCTGTCTTTTCTGTATATTTCGTAGTCTTTGTATCTCACTGTTTGTGTTTCTTTGAGGTGTGTTTCTTGGAGACAAAATACGTTACAATTCCATTGAATGATTGTTTTCATTTTGATTGGCAAAGTGTTGTTTATTTCCCAGGTTATTGTTATCTCCATGTGTTATTTTTAAAGGCTCGGTATTGTTCAAGGAGTGTTCATTCAAAATCTTAATTAGTTTTGAGGTTCTTATTTTTAGCCCTCTATGTGATACTGTATCTCTGATATCTGAGAGCATTGTTTTCAGACCATTTACGTTGTTAGTAAACTGAGACATGATATCAGCAGCGTTTGATTCATTTTCTCCCTGAGTCATGTCGAGTAATAGGCATATCTTTTCGTAAGTGAGGGGGTAAATACTTTTGTTCTTTGAGATCATGGTTCGCATGAGTCCTAGTATGCTTTCAGTGGGATATCTGGCCTTCTTTGTTTTGACATTTGAGCTGGCTCTGCACTTTTTTCCAGGTAGTGGTACTGTGACTCTAGTTTGTGGTCGTTGTTGATTCTTGTTGATCCCGTGATTCTGTGATACGTGTGGTTTGGCCTTACATAGGGTTGTTATAGTGATGTTATTTCGTTTCTGGTTCTGGTCATCATCCTGCGTATATTTCTTAGTGTCAGATGTACCTAACAATGTTTCCTTGTCATTGTATTTGTTAATAGTTGTTTTCTCATCAGTATATTTGTCAATAGGTTTTCTCCCGTCAGTAGATTTATTGGAAGATGTTTCCTCGTCCGTATATCTATTAATAGGTGGATTGTCATCAATTGTTACCTGCCTATATTCAAAGTCGCCTGATCTATTAGACTCAATGACTACAGCTTCAATCCTGGCTGCTTTCTCCAAACTACTCTCTAAGTCAACTGTGCTTGAGCATGGCTCAATCCCAGTTGATTGGAGCGTGTGCTCAGTATTTACCGGACTATATCTCTCCAGCAATTCTATTTCTGAACATTTTGCTGCAAAATGCCCTGGTTTCTTGCAGACGTAACATACAATAACATCTTCGGCAAGAAAAATCCTGTAATTGATTCCCTGATAATAAAAGGCAATCGTGCTATTTAACTTGGTTATATCATCCGCCGCTATAAATACCTGTCGTCGGAACGTTAGTACATGGCTCAGGTTTTTTTCTTTATACCCGAAGCGTAAGAAAGTTATTGGAGATAGCAGCCTAATCCCTAGCTTCTGAATTTCTTCCTCCAAAATTGTTTGAGGTATACTGGGACAAGCACCGGAAATAATGATTCGCTTTCCTGGATCAACTAGCCGCTTAATTGGCAGCTTATGATCTCCTATCGTCATACAGGAATGCTTCATTAGAAGCATATCAACTTGATCCTTACTACTCAAATGAAAGCAAAATCTATTTCCAGAAATTCTAGAGGCATACCTAATGTGACTGGGTTCCATTATCTCAGCGAGTGCTTCGATATACTGTTTCTGCTTCACACCGTTAACAGTAGGAACAATAATAGCATACTCACGGTTAGAGCTCTGTTGGTATGACGCCACTTTGGCATAGGTAGGGCCAGGCTGTTTAACTTCCCAGTTTACAGCCTTATTGGAGACTTCCATTTTTCCTGCTTGAGTATTCTGGAGTAGTCCACACACCTCAGCATTCCTTACAGCGCCTGGACCATCTTGAGATCCCTCCATTACCAAGCCTTGCGCTTGAAGTGCCTGCCCTGGCAGATTCTTTCCTGCAACCACTTTCCTGTTAATGATTAGATGTGTAACGATCGGCAGCCACTGGAGATGACTTTCCTTTGTCGCTGGAAACCGCCATTTGACAGTTTTATGATTTT